CGCCATGAGGACCCATGAGTCATGGGCCGAAGCCCCGAAGAGGGCCCTGGGGTGCGAAAACCAACTGCCTGTCTGGTATCGTTACAGGCCGTATCTCCCAGCCCAAATGGGATGCAATGACGAGCGCGTGGGCGATGGTGCAAAGAGGCGCCCCTTAAGCGCCGTCGGGTTCAATTGGTGCACGGCGGCTTGCGCATGGCACCCCCGGAAAGTGCGAGGGCTGGCCTTCAAAACCTTTGGCCAGGAATCAAGGCAAAAGGTGAATGGATCAAAACTCAGACCACCGTGTGAAAATGAGAACCCCAAGCAATCCGGGGGTTTGCCATGCTTGCGCTTGGGGAGGCCCGACTTTCTTGATACACGAGGATCAAATCCTTCCCAAACAGTCCTGGTCCATATTTTGCGAACCTTCAACTGCAAAATGAATTCAAAGGGGATCCGTAAGGAAATAAAGGTGACTCACTTGACTAAAAACATGGCTTCAGCAAATCACCTTGTTTTGTGATACCAAAGCCAACCCCATGACGACAAGGGAACAAACGCATGCTTATCCAAGCGACTTGCTGCATGGCCGACTAATTCCGGCTCTTTGATCGTCATCAGCCCCCACTGGGTGGTCACGTCCTTGTGAGACATGATCAAGGGAAGTTTAGAAGGAACTTCCTTGATACGGTATCTAGTTGCAAGCTGGCTCTCTGAGACAAACAAATGACCAGACAAGAATAAGCAAGAGAAGAATAAGCACGTAGGCAAACATGTGCGCGCGAAAAGAAATATGACTAAGCGCAGCCTTCTGCGGGATTCCTAGCTCTAGGATGTTCGAAAGCTAGCCTCATGATGCCTGGTAGGGCTGTGCTCGCAGCCAGGCCCATTGCCATGGGGGCGCTCACTTTCCGCGACAAGAGTTTGCGTGGCAGGTGCTGCAAGGTGAGGTGTGCAGACTGCGTGGCAGGCACAGCACTTTCGCAAGGTTCAGGATAGGTAGATGGATAGAGGAGATGGATAAGTAGATAGATCTGTAGATAGAGCTGATAAATAGAAACTCGATGCACAAATAGATAGATTGAGAGAGATCAGATAGATTGGACAACACAATAGGTAGACAGATAGATAGAGAGAGAAAGAGGCACAGATAGATCTGTAAATAGATAGTCGATAGATAGACAGGTAGAGAGGTAGATCGATAGGTAGATAGAGAGATACTTTATAGACAGAAGGTAGGTGCTGAGATAGCTGGGCTGGACCGATAGATATAGATAGATCGGCGCATGCAAATAGAAGAAAGAAAAGCAAAACAAAAAAGAAAGAAAGCAAAAAGACGATAAAGAGAGAGAGAGAGAGTGAGAGAGAGAGAGAGAAAAGAAAAGAGAGACAGAGAAAGAGAAATAAAGAAAAAAAGAAATAAAGAAATAAATAAATAAAGAAAGAAAGAAAGAAAGAAAGAAAGAAAGAAAGAAGCAAAGAAAGGCAACTATAGTTTGTATATGCTTGAAACTCCCGCCCACCGGCTTCGCCGGCCCTACTGGTATTATACAGCTAGCCAACCCAAACTGGGTGACATACTGCCTGTCCTTTTGAAATTTACATTCTGAAGCGAAGGCAAGCATCAACAGTCAACCGCGTTGCGGCGCCGCTGGTCTTCTCAACAGTTTTTGCAACTTTGCTTTGCTCTGCTTTGCTTTGCTTTGCTATGCTTTGCTTGCTGGGTGGTTTGGGTGCATTGCTCGCTGGCTTCTTCGCTTGCCTGCCTGCCTGCCTGCCTGCTTGCTTGCTCGCTCCCGGCTCGCTGGCTTGCTGACTGGAACTGCCTTGGGGGGTGGAACCGGTTTCGGGCAAGCCAACTGCCAACGCCTTTGCTCTGATCACGCAGGCAGGTCAAGGCACAAGCAAGGCCTGCACAGCACAGCACGGCACAGCACAGCAAGCAATGCGAGCAATGCGAGCAATGCGAGCTAGCCAAAGCAGGCAAGCCACTAAGCAAAGGCAACAAATGCATGCAAAGACTCAACATTGTCTAAAGCAAGATGGGAATCGGACAATAAGGGCTTGCTTGGCTCTTTCCCTCTCTCCCAGCTATAGCACAAACATCCGGTTCAAATAAAACAACGGATCGAATCAGGGCCTCCCGCGGACAGGGCGAGCGGACCTAGACAGAGGAGATGTTCTCGGCATCTCGGCATCCGGACGAGGGCCCGGATTAGCCGCCCGCCGGTTCCGGCGCCCGCCGTGCGAATTTTGTCCTTTGCTTTCAGCCGGAGGCGCGGTTTTTAGCGGTTGCGTCTCTTCCAAACCGAGGGGGTGCGTGTTCACGACTTGCTCACTCGGTTGCTTTCTGCTCCCCTGCTAACAGTTTAACTTTTAGTGGTTTAATGGAAAACGCAATTGTTGACAACAAGTTAAAGTCCTAACATTCAAGCAAAAGGCACCAAAGGTAAATCCAGTTGAAATGATCTGAGCGGCCCAAACTCTTTCAGGGTCAACGGCAAAGCAGAGTCAGCGTTTTCTGAACATGCTTGCCGGCTGGGGTGCAGCTTCTCATTCCACATCCAACTAAAAGGGTACACTGAAGATGGCACGTTCCCTTTGCTGTGTGGAAGCAAACGGGGGAACCACAACCGAAATGATGGAATTAACCCCTTCACCCAACTGAGATTCTCAAAGGAAAATATGAAGTGGCTCCACACGGACGAAACCAGCAGGCCTCTTGACGCAACAACTCAGCTTCAATTCAGGGGTTCCGGGGGTTAAAAGCCCCAGTCGAATCTACCTCACCAATGATCGCCAACCATGTTCGAGTGGGCTGACAAGCTGCGTAGACTTGCAAAAGCGGTCTCTTTCCGGGCCACGGCGAAATGAAGGATGCCAAAAAGTGCCTGCCAACTCAGGAAAGCTTCTTCAGGCTGCATCCATCGGCTCGAATCGCAACCAACCGCTCCCCCGAATTATCTCTTTTTGAGCTGGGCGTCTTGCCGTCTAGCCCTGCATGCACGCGGCCTTGAGCTTGCAGGCTTTCCCATGTCACTTTCGCTGGATATGTCACAAACCCCTCCAAAACTCGAACAAAAATAACAAGTCAAAGGAAGCGTGTGGCTCGACCTGTTTGAACCGTTTGGTCCTGAAGAAATGATGAGGATATTTGCCAGCAAAAAGTCATCGAGTTTGCAAATTTAATGGGTAAGCGGCGACGCCCGTGCATCTAGAAAGGAAGCAGTGAAAGGGAAATCCTTCAGTGGCCAGGGTGATTTGCGATGCGACCCGCAGCCCTCCCCGGTTAGCCACCTTAAACATCAATGATGTTGGCTTCAGCCACCTCAACCAAATGGTTTGTTGAGGGCACCCTTTTCACCTCTCGCGAACACAAAGACGAGATCCACCCTCCACTTTTGTGGTTGGCCCCTCCTGACACATACCTCTCTCTTTGATTCCCCGTCTATTTTGCTGAGGCCTAGATCTGAGGGTGTGTTCCTCTCTGGGGGCCCGCAGGCCCGCCGCCCGTGGTGCTTTCCGGCGCGCCAAGAAACGCCGGACATCTTGATCCGCTGCCCCAAAAGCAGGCAGCGGCAGCAGTTCTTTCGCAAAAGCGCAGGTTCAGAGAAAGGTGGGCATCGAGATTCGACTGGGTCCATTAAAGTAATCATCATAATCATCGAAATGGTCCCGCGAAACGGTGCCGGTTTGAGGGAAACACTCCGCCAGAAGCAATGGTGAGAATCGACATGCGCAGCTTAATGGACCCAGTTCTAGATCTTGATCGTTGTGGACCCTGAAAATGCAGAACAACGTTGACTGACTGGCCAATTGCAAGAAGGAAGCTGAATAGGGATCCGACTTTTTTCAGGGCGCAACGACCAAGATAGTCTCTAAGCAAGGGTTCCGAAAGGGGGTGTATTGGATGTCGTTGCTGTTCCGAGCTTTGAGTTACCTAATGGATCGTCGGACAGTTGCGTAGGCAAGCCATTCGAGGGCTCTCTGCGAAAGCAGATACCCCTTGTGGAAAACGAAACGCGTTCCAACGACACGCGCGGGCTCTTTGCTGAAACGTGCGACAGTAGTTGACTGTCAAAGCCGATGGACGAGGCCCGCTCACAAGAGTTCGGGGAAGTGGAAACTGGGGAGAAAAAGCAATCACCGAATGCTGACCCCGTATTAATCAACCCCCAGTTTATGTATGTTTGGGGGGTGTTCCCCCTCCAAAAGCATGCCCTTTTCTGACGAAAGGGTGGAAGTTGTCCCATCAGACGCGGTTTCCAATACTCAACCCAGAAAGTCCGATAGACATGGGTGCGAAACGATGAACAGATACGGGCAAAAGGAAGAACCCAAGAAAATCAAATACACGATGCTCACGGCTCATGGTTGCGTTTGTTGAGAAAATGTCGGGGGTCCAAATGCCTATTGTTTCTTTGCACATACCCAAATTGCATCCGAACTGATGCTGCGACCCTGAAAGCGATCACATGCCGCAGCCAAGCGCATTTTCTGCAATTCCTGAATTAATTCAAACACCCGAAGTAAGGTGGGTTGACCCTTTTTGGGCCTGACCGTTTTTAACCGTTCGGGTGGACCAATGAACAAAAAAACCTGCCGCAGCAACCCTGCCCAAGAAGCTTGAAGAGTTGTGGCCAAAAAGCTTAAAGGCTGCCCTGATCTTGCACCCTGGAAAAGCAGGCGTTTGCCCGAGTGTCCATTTGGAGCCAAGATCAAACTCTTGGAAGACCAAGGCTACAAGTCCCACTTGTGTGCAGAGTTGTCATTGAGCCGGGCCTCGTCCATGCCCATCTGGCACGGGCCCCGGGCGCTGCGGGGGATAATTCACAAATCGGCCAACCGCAAGGCCCCGGTAGGCACGGATGTCCGGCGAAGCTAGAAACATCCACACCCCCGAGCAGGTGAGCAAGCCCCTGCTTGCAGAACATTCGACAAGGGCTAAAAGGGCTAAAGCAAAACAAACCCGCGCGGCCAAACCAAATTTTGTGGAATGAGAACGACACAAATCTCTTGGGTTCAACAGCTCTATGGCTTGACGTGCACGCTCGGTGAGTGGGCCATTCGCCCAAGAGACTCGACTACACTGACTACACCCCGCCCATTTCCGCGAGTCGACTCGGAGCTGAGACTCAGATGCAGCCGGCTGGCCTCGGCTTGTGAAGAACCCCATGGTGCGTACAGGATGCGGATGCGGACCAAAGGGAAACCAACCAGCTGGCAAGAGCCTTCAGAATTCCAAACCTTGCCCGGAAAACAAAGAAAAACGCCCAAGCTGAGAAAGGCGATTCGACCCACCCCGGCCATGGAAGTCCGGCCTTGCGGCAAGTTTCAAGCTACGGGTCCCGACCATAGAGAACCTTGTGCTCAGTTGCCCCTGGGCTACCCAAAAAGAACATGTTAACTGTTTAAGAAGACTTGACTAAACATGCACCAAATCGGTAACACCAAAAGATCAAAAGGTCGGGTTGGGCAACTGAGACAAACTTCCACTGTAGCGCCAGCCCTGACCAGGTTTGGACTAAGCTCTTGTAACATGCTGCTCTCACAACCTCGCTTCTCGTCCAAGAATTCTCCGTTGGCTGCTCCAAAAGGAGTTCGCACCTGTCCAACCAAATTGAAAGAAGTAGGAAGCGGCGAACAAGTCAATGACCCATCCAAAGAGGAACAAGAATTCCAAGATCCATTTGCCCTTGGAGAAGAGGGGGGTTCAAGGAATGAACTGAACCATTCTGGTGGCTTCCTTTTGGAGGGTCCCAAACTTCCCAAATTCCTCAGCTTCCCGCAAAAAAAAGGAGAAAGTTTGGAGTCCTGAAGGTTAGGTGTCCCATTTACCTACAAGAAACTCAGGGTCAAGTCCACCAATCCAAGCCACATTTCTGGAGGGTGGATTCTCTGCCGGAGCGGAAGGAGGGGAAAAAACAAAAAGCAAACCGGGTGAGGCCGGCTTCACTCCAAGACTCCGGCGAGCGCCGGTCAGGTCAGGCCCTAGGCACGGGCTGGCTGACCTCTTGACCGCTGGGGTTTGCGGGTAAGGAGGTCCATTGGAGGGGGGGTGGAGGGTCCCCCAATTCCATTGATCTAGCCATTCCTTAGATTTATAAACCTCTTGATCGAAAGAAGCTGTCATTCTGGTGCGTCAGGGCCCCAGCGGCATTTTCGAACAGGGCGTCCATAGATGTCCATAGACCTCATTAGGCTGCTATTAGCCCCTGTTCAGCCGGGGGGTTCTCTTTTGGGACCCTTGGCAGAAGCCATTGGCAATCGCGTGGCCGATCTGTCGGGCTTGGCTAAGCCTTGAGATGCCTTCGGGACCCAAACCCCCAGTGGATTTCCATCGGCAAACAGCCCCCCCCTGCCCACCCCGGTGTTGGCACTTACCTTCCTCAAACCCAGTGGATTTCCATCGGCAACCCCGGCCGTTTTGCACTTACCTGTTTAGAGTTGTCGTTCCCTTCCATTCAAAAAAACCATGCAGCGAGATGCACCCCTGGGTGTTGGCTGTGGGCTTCACTCCCCCGGAATGGGCACGGCCTTAACGGGATGGGGACGAAGCAACGCCTCCTTTCTCCTGTGGCAAAAGAAGAAATCCGCTTCCGCGCAAACTGGCATGTTCCCCAGCTGACGTCTTTGGACTGTTCTGAGTTCCGTGGTTCTCTACCCAAAAAATGGAACCCCAACTGGCATGTGGCAAAAAAAACAGTTCGAATGCCCGAGAGAGAGAGAGAGAGAGAGAGAGAGAGAGAGAGAGAGAGAGAGAGAGAGAGAGAGAGAGAGAGAGACAGATCTTCCTGGGCCAATTAAATTGGCCAGCCCCCAAGTCGCCTTCGCCTTCCGAACATGGACCGTTTCCCGCGTCGACTTAACGAGCCCCAGGGCTCCCCCCCGACCCGAAGCTCCTTCTGAAAAATGCACTGCTAAACCTCTTGGGAAGTACTCGATGCCGAAGCTCAAACGAACTGCAAGTACTTCTCCACTTCCCCAAATCCCATGGCGGCTCAACAAAATATATACGCTTGCGGCACCTTGCGAGCTGCCCGGCTCTTTCATCTTGAGCGCCCAAACCAACTCCCGGCCGGACCAATGCAGGGCTGTGGGAAATGACAACTTCTGTGATAAAATGGAAAAATCGCTTCCCAAAGACTAAGCCCCTAAAGTGGGAGATTCCCTTGTATCACAGAAGTGGTTGGATACCTCTGCGCTGAAAGCGCGGGCCTTTCAAGCACCCGACCACCCGCCATCTCCTCACCCAAGGCCGAAGCCGGCGCCCACGCAGGCGATAGCGGCATGGCACGTAGGCGGTCTCGTCCTTCTTTTTAACGGCGAAGGCGCGGAAAAACGCGGCCAAGGCCCCCCCCCCCCTCAGGAGGGGTTTGTTGGCTTTCTTTGCTTTTCCCCCTTTTTTTGAAGAACATGGGATGCGCGGAAAAAAGCGGCGAGCGAAAGCCCCCTTTCCCCCCTGCCCTGCCGGGAGGTGTTCGTTGGTATTCTTTGCCTTTTTTGGAGCCAAAGCGCGCTCTCTGTTTGGCTAAGGGACGATCCAGCGCAAAGACTCTGGGAGGGTTTGAGGTTCGGGATTTTAGGAGTTGAGGTCTGGGACTTCAATGGTCATTTTTTGGGGTGCATCAGGATCCAGGTCTAGGGTTGCTGGACCATCCCGGAAGTGTAGCTTTCGAGTTGAACAAATTCCACGCACTCCCAACTAGGGCATTCCACCGGATTTTGTCCATCCCTATCATGTCCTCTCAGTTTCTCTCCCATGGCAATTTCCTCCCATCCCCTTTCCATGGTCGTGTCAATGTCCTTCTCATTTCTTCCTCGTTCAACAAATGCCAGCGGTTGGTTTCTCTGTGGCTGTCCGCAGGAAAGGTGACCCAAAATTCTCGAAGAAACCTCCACTTGCCTAAGATGGGGACAAAGGTGGCGGTAAACATCGGTCACCTTCTGGAAAGTGATGTCCCAAATGGTCGAACCGACAAGAAATAGCTGTGGCTCAAAAAACCGGAATTCCAAAATGGGTTGCCCTGGTAAAGTGGAAACATGAAACCTGCGGTTTGGCCCTCCTGTTTGATTTTGAGCCACACCCACATGATTTCCCTTCCACTGTTTTTTCCTCGGACTCGCGGGAAAAAAACAAAAAACATGGACGGGGGTCCACGTTGTTCGCCACAAGTATGAGGTGCAGCAACCATTGGCAATGAGTTGCCTGTGGTTGTCAAAACCGTTTTGGGATCTCATTTTGGGGTTTTCGGTGCACCACAAAACCCATGGTACCACTTTGGTTGGTAGGTGAGTTCACCACCCATTTTAGAACCTATCTTAGTGGTTGGATTGAATCAGATGTTCACTGGGGTTACGAATGGATTTGGACCCGCAGCCAAATTGAAAGAAAATGGAAGCAGTGCCAAGAAGCCCATTGACTTTTGTTCTACCAACATGGTAAGATTCTGCAAAACCCATCATCTTAACCCTGAAACTGCCAGCAAGGTGTTGGGTCCTTGAGTGGGGCTGTTCAAACAATACTCTTCCAGTGCTACCTTCCCCATTCTTTCCAGAAATCCTTCTTTCTAGCAAACCTCCGAAAACCCGGAAACGGCCGGTTTGTGAAAAGAACGATGGGTGAAAAGAATGGGGAGTCAACCCTTAGAACTCTTGGGGGAAGAAGCACAAAACAGGAACGGGAACGGCAAATGCTGAGCTTGCATCAGGTCTGAACGAACTGGAACCATCCCAACTAGACCGGCAAAGCTCCAGCGAGCTTGCCACTGAGATGCGGAAACCCCAAGATGGGTACCTCTCCCTTGGCCTCCCGGGAAAACCACCGCAAAAAGTGCACCCTCAAAACAATACAAGCACACTCACAAACAGCCAACCCAACCACCCAGCCCAACCAACAAACCAAGCGAAGCTAACAAACAAACCAAGAAACAGCCAGCCAGCCAACCCAACCCAGCCCACCCCAACCACCCACCCCAACCAACAAACCTAACCAAACCCAGCTAGCAAACGAACCAACAAACTAACCAAACCAAACCCAGCTAATAAAAAAGACAACAAACAAACCAAACCAACTGCCAGCCGACCCAACAAACAAAGGCCACAGATCTGGGAGTCGACCTTCTGGCCCTGCCTGGCGCGCTTGGGCGACCAGGGCCGCCCGCTTCTCCCGGCGGGCGTCGCGCTTGAAGCGGCGCTTGCCTCAGCGGGGTGGGATCCTGGGCCTGGGTGAAGTTTGGGGCTTCTCCTTTTGTCACTTTCCCCAACCTGGGTCACCTGGGTTCGTGGGGGTGTCAATAAACCTTTTTCCCAAGCTTCTTATCCGGGCTCTGATCGTTTTTTACACAACCTCCCCCCCCTTCTTCACAGCCGGAACCCCCGGCAGCCCCAAGACGGGGGGAAAAGTGCAGCCACCAGCGCTTAATTTGTTACAAGGGGTGTTTACGCTCCGAGAACAGGCGGAACCGTTTGACGTACGGGACCCGGGCCCCTTAAAAGGACAAGGTGGTCCAAACCAGGACCGATTCCCCGAACGTCAGCTTCCATGTGAATCGGTGGGAGTGTAACCCTTATTCATCTTGGCTCACCCTTACCCTGCACCTGTGGGGTTTATGGCACCCAAAAGGCCCCTTGTCAAGTCCCATGTTAGAGGGAGAGTGATTTGGCTTGTTGGTTTCGAAGCTAGGTACCCTCAATTTGGGAGTACCTGAATGTTGGTTTGGTCATTCCTTTGACTCACTCACATACAAAGAAAGAAATTGTTGCGCCAAATCCCCCCCACCCGTACGGTGGAACAGGGCGCCTACCTTGAACCCGTGCTTGCGGCTTCCAAGATTTCACTACCAGTGTTTCTTTGGAATCGATGTTGGGTTGCTATCTTGGTGGAGTGTTATCCTCGTGGATTTACCCCCACCTTGATGACCGGAGATGCAACCTAAGATCATGGCTGCCGGCCTGAGGAAACCTTTCGATGAGCCTTATAGTTTTCACTCCAGAAGATGCAAGACAAAATCGTCACCGAACAAAAACAAACACGTAGGTTGACTGGAGCCCCAAAACGAACCCTATTTCTGTCATCCTGGTGCCAATTTGCGAACCAATTCGCCAAGTCCAAGACCAGTGGACCAGGGCTATCCCAGAAGGCCAGGAACCCCCAAGTCGGGGGGTCACATGAGCCGATCCGGATTCCATCCAGAAGCTGCCAGCACGGCAAGCTTTTTTTGGGGGCCAGTGAAGAGGGACAGATTCCAAGTAAGTTGCCAAAAGTCAGAAAGCGGCTTGAGAAGCATCCTGGATTTTTGTTTGCTTTCTTCAGACGGTCCGGATCCAGATTTTCCGGCCAAACTAATTTTCCGGCCAAACTGGCGGGGAAATATCACAGAGCCGGACGCCCCAGGCCAATCAGTGTGCGTTTGTTTGGCTCTTGCGAAGGGATTGGAATGTAAAGCTGTAGAAGGGTATTGAACCTGCACCTTGGATCCTTAGTAAGGTCGGGATCGCCAGACCTGCAGTCAGTGCGGGCTGCGCTTTGGATATTGTCCTCCGAAGGCTGCTACAACCCATGTCTTGAACGGGGATGTCCTGGTTTGCTGAGCCATGGCGATCTCTGACACGGGCCATGGACTTCATTTCAGCCGGTCACCCAACACGCCTTGAACTTAGCTTCAAGGCGATGGCCTGCGGTTTCCCCAACAAATGGAGACCTTGAGGAAAGAGACCTCAACGAGGAAAGGGTGGGCTCGCTGCATTTCCCTTGAAACATCACCCCCAGGGATATTCACCTTTGGGCCCACAAAGAGCAAAATATAGGGCCCCTGCACGAGGGTGGCTAGACCGAACTGACACTTGCCACATCGCACCCTCTGGGCCCGCCCAGAGGACCACTCGCCCCGCGCGGCGGAGCGCCGAAAATTCTGCCTGCCCAGGTGCTGTCCTTCACCGCCTGAGGCGAACAGAAGTGGCAGAAGTCGCAGAAGTCGCCGTTGCGGCATCCGTCCTGGCGGCGTCCGCACGCCTTACGCCCACCAGAAGGACCAATGGCCATGGGTCAAAACCCAAATCGTATCCCCAGTGAACATCCCAATCCCCACTAAAATAGGTTCTACCCCATTGGCTTTGACCCACAGCCAAATGGCACCAGAAGGTCAGACATGCCCCTCACAGGCACTCCCAAGCCCGCACTTTGTAGTGTGACAAGCCCTAGCTGTGTAGGTTAGTCGTTCTGACCGGAAAAAGCTGTGCGCAAGCAACGCCCCCAAACCCCGAAAGCCTGGACGTAAAGCAGATGTGCTCGCCGCAGAGAAGAAAAAACGCCAAGCCCCCTTTGGTGTCCATTTAAGCCGATCACGAACCGGACATACGCAATCCACGATTCAGGAGAACTGATCACGGGCGGCGAGCCCGTGTTGACCAACTCGCGATCAACTTGAGCCTTTGGGAAATCGCGAGTCAGCTTCCCAAGTGGCTTGGAGCCTGGAGCTTTTGTCGATGTCCGTCTTTGCTGGCTGAACCCCCCCTTCTCCCCTGCCGACCCCCCCGCCCATCTTCCCTGCGCGGGGTTATTCTCGCTCGAACCGCCTCCTTGAAGTAGAAGTAGGAGCAGGGCTTGCAGTTCCCGGACCTGTGCGCCTGAGACGAAAACCGAAAACCGAAAACCGAACTCGGGCGGCTTCGCCGCGTCTTCCCGTGTCGGCGGGTTTTCTTCGCGGATGCGCCATGGTTCGTCTCGCTGGGTTTCGCGAAAGTGGGGAAACCCAGCTAGAACCAAGGAGTTCAAATCAAAGTTGTCCCAAATCCGAACCACCCAAGTAAGAGACACCATGGGACACCGAACACTTTGTCCTGCAAAGGTTTGAGACGAAGTTCTGCGGCTTAGATTCTCCCGTCGAGAAACCACACTGCCAAACTGCTTGAGCCACCACCTGGTGGTCCCAAACCCCTGCTGAAACCTCTCCGGCCAAACCCCCCCCCAAAAAAAAAAGATGCCTCGAACCACCTCCTTGGCCCCCAGAAAAAAAAGAAGAAAAAAAAGAAGAAAAAAAAGAAGAAAAAAAAGAAGAAAAAAAAAGCCGCCCCCCCTCGGCTCTTCAAAGTGCGGGGGGGCTTTGAAACCTTTGCCACCCGGGCCTCCAGGTTGCGCTCCAGCTTGGAGGCGAAGTCGGCGTCCTGCCCAAACCCCTGGGTTGGGTACACCGTCCCGTTGATCTGGAGCCCAAAAAGTCGGGCCAGAAGATCCCAAGTGCAAGCCGTCGCCTCGGTCTTGGGATCGTCATCCTGCACATCGCGACCGCGCCGAGAGCGCGGCAAGCTGGCCGAGGCTTATAACCCTCAAAGCCTCGTTCAATTGGCGCCCGTTCAACGAAAAACCGATCGCCAAGGACGATGTGCATGTGATCGAAGCAGTTGATACCTAGTCAACTTTGAAGCATTTACTCATGGTCTGTGGGCGCTGATATCACTTAGATGGTCTGGAGATGAGGGCAACCTCAGTTAACTGTTAGGGGTTTGGACCTTTTCCGCAGAAGGCAAAAAAAAGTGTGGTTGCTGAGTATGACCAATCCGCTTAAGAAGTGAGCTGAAGGTGTCTATTCCGGGAACCATGGGATATTTTTTTCTCAAAGCTATGTGTTCCTGTGATGTTGTCTATGTTCCAGTTCTTTTAGCAGACACGTCACTCATCGCTGTCGTGTGCTCCTTCCGAATGGACACACTTGCTGAAACTCAGCACTGATGTCCTTCCCCAGCACCGTGCAAACATGAACCAGCAGCAAATAAGACATTTGCAATTGGTAGCGTTTCACATCCAAGTGGGTGTGAATTTTAATAAGGGACCCTTTGGTGGACATCATTTAGCTGGGATTCATGTCCACCAGCCAGCCTCCCTATTGAAATTCATGGCCAAGATAGTTGAGGAGTTGTTGCTTACGCCCAGTAACGGCGTCTTGTTGATACTGGCGTAGTGGCCAGAAACAGCCAAACGAAACTGCACCAAAAGGAATGAGCCCCCACAAACCGCAATCATGGCGTATGCTTTCGCCATTCCGCCCAAAAGTCCGGCCCTCTTGTCAAGTGGCCGCTTGGGCATGGCTGACGGAGCTTGGTTCCTTGTGGGTGGCTGCCCAAGCGAACCATAACTAGGTCCTCCAGATTTGAGAGGTGAGAATAAGGGCACCCGATTGTTTTTCTTCAGTCTATTTTAGTAGGGGAACCCTCCCCAAAAAAGGGTAAAAAGGGCACTACTGGGGGACCTAGATAAACTACCAGACTTCGAATAACTGTTGCGCAGCTGCTCGTGTGGGTTCTTCCGCTGTCTGCCCTTGGCTTGCTTCCTTCCAGGCGGAAGCCAACGCAGAATCGCACCACTGGAACATACTGCCTACCCCGCAACATCTTGGAGCGTTGGACCCGCTACCCTGCCCGCTCCGCCGATCGGCACGGCATGGCTCTCTGACAATCCGAGGCTTCTCAAAACTACATACGAGTCCCGGGTTCCTTGATGTCTCGCTTACCATGGAACAGGTTTGGGGAAAACTCGGTTGTGCCTCCCTATCTCACGGACGCCCTTTCCCCCCGCCTCCACCTCCTCAGCATCTGTGGAGTAATCCCAGACCTCGTCGTGCGTCTTCAACTCCGCCTGCGCACTATCGACCCCGCACCCAGGTGTCAACCAAACGAAAGAGAGTTGGAACCCTTTTGGGTTCCTATAACTGCCAATGGCCCCCCCCCCCCCAAAAAAAAAAAAAAGGGTTGAATAAGGCATTTTTTTCTCTCTCGCGCTCTCTCTCTCTCTCTCTCTCTCCTTCTCTCTCCCTCTCTCTCTCTTCACTCTCTCTCTCTCTCTCTGCCTTTGGGTTGTGTCGAGATGGCGCAAGGCTAAGGCCTAACAAATCTATTTCTGGACCCTTTTGGCTCCCACCAGACGCGGCCAAAAGACTGGCTGGCGGCCATGCCTCTCTAAGCCAGCCAGGAATTGGACTCCTTTATGACACAAAATCCATCTGCCAGTAGGAAGCAGCAGGAAGCAAATGAACACATGCTACCTGGAAAAAGCAAGCTTTTTTGAGGCTTTGGAGCTTAGGGCTGGATGTCCATTTCCAACCCACAGCGGCGTTTCCCCAGCCGGACCCCGGAGGCCACGCTCCAAGTGAAAACTAGGCCCCCTAAAACCCAATGTTCCATCCATAGTGTGCCGTGTCCTTGGGGAATCTGTGAGAACCTGTCTGTTGCGCAAGGCGATGCCCTCCCTTCCACTAACATGGCACCTCTGGGAGGGTGCCTGGAAGATTGGTTTCCTCCTCAAGGGACCCCATGTCTGGTGCTATGTTAGTTGGAGGGGGGGGGGCTCTGGGTGAAAATCAACGGCATAGGCGGCGGCTTTGCGGCTGCGGTTGTGGCTAAACCAATTGCGTGGAATGCGGAGCTGGCCCTCTTCAATCCCTCGAAGGCTGAAGCACCCCAGGTGCCGAATCGGCCGCATCGGCCGCATCGAGCGACGCATCGGCCGGACCAAGGCTGGGGTCAAGGGGCTCGGAAAAAGACGCCCAGCAAAGCAAAGGCAGAGGCTGCAAGGAGACCATGGGCAGGTGGATGAGAACACAACTCAAACCACACAAACCACACAACTCAAACCAACGCAGATGCATGCTGCAGGCACGTTGTCGAACGGATCGACAGAATCGTCTTCAGTCAAGGGCTAAGCCAACCTGGTTTTAGCCACCTTTTGGCTTCCTTCAGAATCCGAAGCCGCCAAACATGTCTAGGATTTTCATGGCAAAACAGCTGGGCCTTTGGGACATTGGGACTCATGGAACTGTCCCAAGAAGGAAAATTCCTGTACAAGCGCTGGGTTATTGGGCCCATGCTAATCTGCAGGGGGTTGAGTCAGCTGGAAAGTGAGAAATCCGTGAAGAATCCAGTGTGCGTCTTGCGGGGGGGGGGGGCCTGATATTTCCTCCCCGCCCGAGAAAATAACTTCCCGTCGCCTCAGTTTCGGCGATGTGGGTGCTGGAACTGGAGGCATGAGAGGCTTTCCGCGCCACTTCGTCCTAGCGGTCCGCCGAAGGAAGGCTGAGCTACGCTTCACTTCCTGGGTCTCCGTTGGTTTACCACTAACACGGCCGCTGCGAAAGGTGGAAAAGCTAAGGAACTCAGGGAATACGGATCAGGTTTCAGTGGAGTGGATCAAGTTCGAGATCGCATTTGGGTGGAGTTAACGTGTTGGCTGCCGGTTAAAAGCAAGGTGACCAACAGGACACAACGCCCACTAGCAGGAACCAGACATTGGCGGTTTCATATCGCTTGCATGCATGTAACGTAACGTATCGTAACCCAACATAACGTAACGACCACCAGAAAGGCGTCCCTGCTTCCTAAAAGAAGCGAAAAGGGGGTCCCAAAACAAGAAGGATACCCTGCATACGCCTCAAATTGACGAACCAGGAACCAGGGGACGCTTTTCCTGACCAATACATGGGAGCTTTTCTGGGAATGAGTTTCCACTTTTTTGGAAACCCATTTTTCACACCGCCAAGCAAGAAGTCTAATGGCACACAGTTGCGGTCGAGCGGCACTAATGTTTGGTCAAATTCATAGGGAAAACATTCACAGAACTAACATAGAACTGGAAGACCATTAGTGTCACTAGCATCTTTGAACTAAAGCTTGGGCGGGTGCCCTTTATGGAGTTGGTTTGACTACGTCCGTCCTCTACAAATTAGCATGGAGTACATGCTAGGCCATCAGACGGAACCAAAGTTGGGACCCCTGTGCGGAGATTCGGAGGGACACTAAAGAGATACCGCCCACCGATGTTGGCCTGAATTCAGCCCTTCATGGTTCGTTTAAACTTCTTTGGTGAAAAGCGTCGTTTGGTGATCGGCCGTTTGGGGGGGAGGGTCGCGGAAACCCCATATTAAACACCAAATTTCTTGCTGGTGCTCAGCATGGAATGAGGGAATGAATTCAAGGATTCCCGTAAAGGAAACCATTGGGGATGGTTTATCTGGGGGTCATTCCAACTCATTCCCTGCATCCCTTGCTCTCGCAAGGATGTTGAGCGTTCCCCCACTATTCCGGGGCTTCGCAGAGGCGCTGTGTTTTCTGAGCCCAGTGTGTCCAGGGTGGCTGAAAATCAAATCACCATTTACCAAGGTGCCATTTTGGAAAACGTGTTTTTGAGCAGCCGGGCAAAGATCCACTTGCTCAAAAAAGGAGGAAGTAGCACGCAACTGTCATAATTCCACACCTTTTGTATTTCTCGAAATACTTCCTTTGCAACCAAAGCTCAGTGCAGATTCAAGGGCCTTGCGCAAGATTCTTCCCTTGTAGGCTTTTCTTGGCTTGGCAAGAGTCCCCTTTCTAGTGTGTTTTTTTATATTATCCAGGGATTGTGGAGGATGGGCTCTTGGCCTCAGCTCCCAATTGACATGGAAGCCTTCCCCACTGAGTCAAGGGATCCTGTCAAGTTGGTATTTCCAGGGATTGGCTTTGCAGGTACGGATGTACGGATGCTTAGCAGAGCCAGCACCAAACTACGCTTGCTATGTAATCATATACACGCAGACGTACAGGCTCTGGACGCAACGGCAGGGAGAGAGAAAACGTACAGGCACACACGCACACCCCCCCCTCCATGGACCCTGGTTTTACTGGGGGATGATAAATCTAGAATGTAGAGACTAAAATTCTCAAATTTCAAAAATTGCATTTCGGGTCCCAAAGCTTCATAATTTGGAGCCCGGAGTCCTCCGAAAAGTCCCAATGTGATACCTGTCCAAAAACGATTTACTTCAACTAGAATTGGCACTTGGAATATAATTTAGTTCGGATATAGTTTTCCAAAATGCGTTCTGTGTTCCATTGCAGCTTAAATAAAGAAATCCTTTCTAAATAGGAGTTCCATGAACATGTAGATATAATTTCGGGTAAACTCCAACTAAACCAGATTAGATAGGAGTTGATTCCTAAATATAATCCAAGTGTTATATATAATCTATTACGTACACAAACTACTTCTCACATGTGATTCATATTATTATGGCTAAACATTCAAGGGACTTCTGCAAGGAAATTCACAATACGACTTGTGTTATTTACATTCTTGCCTTTTTGTAGCATAAGAAAGGTCCTGTTCCAAAAGGACACTCAAGGGAAGAGAGGTTCAAATTCTCAAACTATCTCGAAACAGGGATTCTAGCTAAATCAGTTGTATTTAAAGTCCTCTTTGCACCGGAAAGCACAATTCATTCTATCTCAAACGGTGGAGGTAGTAGATGAGCAAATGTGGACAGGTTGTCCAAGAAAGGGGGTGACGGTGTGTAAACACATACATGTGCATATTTGTGCATATATACAAGATAGTACCCCTAATCATCCTGTGCCTCTTCATTAAAAAACATCTGCAACATAAAGTGTTTTTGAGCATTACACCTACCTTGGTTTACCTCCTGGAAAAGGGTCAACATGAGCGTAGCTTCCGTGAAGCAAACCTCTCACCAAAAGCGCTTGAGGTTTTTCAATCAAATAACTTGAAAGTGTTTCCATTGGATCGCTAAGCACTTGAAAGTATTTTCCACTGGATGGAAGATTCAAGATTGAAGAGTACAGAGAACACTTTCTTGAAGAACATCCATGCTGGTCAACCCCTAAAACTTTCAAGTGTCCTAAAACCTCGAAAGTATTTTACCACTGGATTGGAGATTCAAAATTGAAATCTTTCGCAGAAAGCTTTTCCGAGAATCTTGTCCTCTCACTTTGAATACAGAAATTGCGTGAACTTAGAGGGTTGCAAATTAATTGCATATGACTGCAGATGGGTGCGCATACTTGGTGGCAGAAGTGTATTGAACACCTAGAGTGTTGGCACAACCCTGGATTTTGTTTTTAAGGGTTTCAATATTCAAGATTCAAGAATCTGAGAACATTATTTTTGGGAATCTTGAATCCCGGAATTTTAAACATTTTTAGAATACCAGCTTTGTCCCAATACTCTGAGAATGCAGACTTTGTCAGGTAGCAGATGCTGATATCTTTGCCTACGTTGCATATTTGCTCCCCCGCTCAATGTTGCCACAAAATCCACAGGCACAAAGACATCAACTACTGAGAAAAACAGCACGAAACCAGGGGGGTAACACACACACACACATATATATATATATATATACACATCTATATATATACACATACACATGCCCCCACCCAAAATTATTCCCCCCCCCTTGGAACCCTCCCTAAAAGCTGCTGCAAATCACTCTGGGCAGAGACTCAGCGACGCTGCCGGGGGAAAAGCGTGGTGAGGCAACTATGTACCAGAGCTGCGGAAGTTGCTTTTGTTGTTTGGTTGTTGTTTCTCATAAATTGAAATTACTTACATAAAACAAAAGTCTATATCCATATGTAAAAAGCATTGAACAATTCTATGCAAATGCCGTTTGATGTGGGCGTTTCTCAAATGGGGTGTCGGAAAAATGTGTGGTTTCTTTTGGGCTCCCCTTTTAGCAACCAGTTGGGGGGCCCACCATTTCGAGACGACCCTCCCAGCCTCTTTGGCGCTTTCCAGCAAACCGGGAGATGAGTTTGTGCGCTTTAGGCCCCACCATTCCTTGGCTCGGATTACTGAAATGTCCTGCATCCCGAAAGGCCATTCGGGTCGTGGCAACGATGACTCGCCAAAGGCCCAATGCAAAAGGCGGTGTTGAAATTGCGAATCAGAAAAAGAAGAAGAAAAAAACAACGAGAGGGCCTTGGTCATTAGACAAAGGGGGGGGAATTGGAGAATGGGACGTCTCCTTACCACACGTGGAGTGGGATTCCCACGGCTACTGCAAAATCTGTTTTGGAGCTGCGGGGTGGGTTTCTCCTGGAACGACATGGCCCAATGCCATTTAGCGAACCTATCCGCAGGGACGTGAGCGCCAGGCTCGCGACCCAAACGCGGCGACGAGGTCCGAGCCATCCAAACTTTGCAACCACAACCTTCCCAAATGTCATATGGACATGTACATGTTTAAGGGGACCCTCAAAAAATGATGTGTTGTTGATTTTGGTTCCTACTTAGAACTTAGAACCCGCAAAAAACAGAAAGAAAAAAAGAAGAAGAAAAAACGTTGCTCTCAACAAAACAATCCCAAATACCTTCTGGCCATCATCCTGGGTGAGCTTGTGCCAAATGAGCTTGCTAGAAATCCAGCAAAATGAGCCTTGCCCCGGGAGTGAAGGATTCCCCTTTCAAAATGGCACGCCTAGACAAAAGCCAAAAAAAACACATCTATTGATCAAACGCGTTCTCTTCCCAGACCCGCCACCAAAAAGAATGGCACCCTTTGGGTCGTTGATTTGCACAGGCTTCCTCGCAAGCCACCCTTTAGGTCGCTGTTGAAACAAAATGAAACCCCTCCAAGAGACTTTTGGGATGGAATTCTCCCCGCTAGGAACAAGTCACTTCGACAGCAGACACACACGCACACATTCCGAGCATCCGTTGCATCGAGCTCCGCATCCTCGCTCACGTGGATAAAGGTGTTTTTCACCTAAGTCGTGTCTACGTTGCTGAAAAAGAGGAGGAAGTTTAAAAAAAAAGGCTTCGTGCTGTTTTGAGGGCTTCAGGTCAGTTTCGAAAGGTCAACAACCTTCTTTTGTGTGGGTGTTGATGGAAACTTGTTTTTTTGCATCCAAGGATCTGGTCCATCTTGGGGGCTGCGCAATTTCTTCTTAGATGAGGAACCCCTCTTAGCTGAATCTCCTCCTCTCCGAAAAAGAACGCCTCTAAGGGCAGCAAATTACATAGCACTTGCCGGTTGGATGGCTTGCGGCGTACACTTGTCACGAAGCCCCACTCCGCAGCTGGGGCAGCGGCTGAAGCCAAAGAGTCCTTCCAATCGAAGAAAAAAGTTGGGGACGCAAGGCCGGCCATCGCTCGAGTTTTGGCAAGAAATTCTGGGCGCACCAACTTTGAGCGCTTGAGCCAAGGCCGAAACACATCCAACCCGTTTTTTTTAAGTGCGGACCTCATTTGAAGTGAGGGAGCTGAAATCTCCTGAAGCGCCATGAAACCAACAATCTAGGCGTTGAGATTGTATGATGCGCTGTCTGCAGGCACACACAAAGATGTGGTCTTCCTCGGCGCCCTTTTCCCCTAGCCAGCCCACTCAGTCTGATCAAGGAAGCCCGGGGAGTGAGAGCGCAGCTCCCTCCGTTCCACGCCGCAGAAATTCGGAGAACTCCGAATACAACATGCGCGCCGACGGCGCTGGCTCGCGCCGTTAGGTCCGGAGAAGCCCCTGCAGCATAGCGGCCCACGGTGTCCAAGGCACCAACCCCCCCCCCGAAGCGACAGCCGCTGGCAGCCAAGATGGGTTCTGAAATTTATGAAGCATGGCGCGACTCTTGCAAGCTCGCACGTAGACCCTTGCACGCAAGCCCCTGCCACAGCGTGCCCCACGGACGCAGAGACGCCTTTTTTTGCAGGAGAGCTCTGTGGATGCACCCCGTTCGTTTTCGACTCAGAACTTTGATGCATCTTGGTGCCGACCGTCATGGAGACAGGGCTGTGACCGCTGCAGCTCGCGAAAGGGCTGGATGCACTTCAACTGCAGGTTCGATGAGCGCACTGCGCCTTACAATCCCCGTTGTTTTTTCGCTGTCAGGATCAAGTTCGAGGGCAGTCAGCAAGTGAACAACACTCTCCCAGCCGGACCGTGTGTGTGGACAAAGCAAATTGAAAGGGAGAGCATGCTTCCTGAACAGCCTCCGCCCACGCCCCGGACTCGGCCGTTTGCCGGCTGACCGTGGGCGCGAAACTGATCTCACGCGGACTGAACTGGAGTCGCGTCGGCATGAGGGCGCCCAAGAACTACCAAATTTGACGTGTTTTGCAGGCAGAAGGCCACTGCTACAAGGAATGAGGATATGTGGTTCACACAGAGCAGAGCTCGCAGCGTGCTGATCGTGAATCATTGTTTCACCATTTGAAAGCAACTGGCGCATAAGCCAAGGCTAGCACTGGAGCCTGAGAAATTCAGGAGCGCAAAGCTGAGGCGGGCGGGCCGCCGGAAAGCCATGCAGTTTCGGGCGCCGTGTAGGGTTCTGATGGGAAGCATTTGCTACGACGGGAAAGAAAGAAGAAAGGGCGTCCAGGGACTAGACTTCCTCAAACACTCGAGGACCATGTTCCGCGCTAGCAGGGAGAGACAGCACTCCCTGCAACATAGGATCTTGCATGGGATGAGGCAAAACCCGCAACGGAGGAGTCCACTTAAGATCCCACCGACGCTCCGGTAGAGAAAGTGCGACACAGTCCGCAGAGGTAGGGATGGTAGGGATTTTTCAACTCACAAAACAGAAAGAGGGATCGAACCCTCTAACCACGTCCCTCGAAATGGCTTGAAGCATAAACGGCAACGCGGCTGAAGATTCGAACGGGATTAAAACACGGGGGAACCTCAAACCCCAAGCCGAAGCTTGCTCCTATAAAGGAAGCACGCGTGTCTTCAGGCAGGAATGCGAGGCGTACATCTGAAACCATGGGCAGGCTTACGCGTTCTGGTATGTTGCATTTAGGGTTTACCCCACACACCGTGCTGTCCAAGAACCAGGCGTGGTTCTTTGCCTTCTGCATGCACGACATTTAACTTGCCGATCGCGATGCCTTTGTGCCAATGCTGTCGCGCTTGTTCGACAGACATGTCTGTGTGCCTCTGCGGCTTTCCAATATTGCCCATACATTCGAGGAGTTCGCTCGGTGTTTCCGACGGCTCTTTTGGTGGCCACTGCATGCTCCTGGGCAGCTTGGAGAGGGCCCAGTAGGGACCGCTTCAGAACAGAAAGCAGAGGCAGCAGCTTGATATCTGGGCCATTGGCTGTGGAGGCTAAGGCGTGCTTGCAGGGCACGGCATGTTCATGGCGCGGAATGCAATGCATGCGGCTTGTGCGGAAAGAGGAGGTGCTGGATTTCCCGACAGACGCATGCAGCCACCTCAGCCACTTGTGGGACACTTGGCGGAGTGGGTGGTCGGGTGAAAGTATAGAGTGATCTGCGGTGGAATGCAGGCCGGCCCTGACAAAGCTCCGCACCGAAGCACAGCTGCTCGCTCAGGCTTTCTTCGACGACACGCCAGAAATCAGCGTGGACGGCAGACCCCTCACCGCGAGCTGGTTGCATCGCATTCAAACAGTGTTCCGCAATGCGCTGGCCCTCTGCCAGGCAGTGCGTCTTCTAAATGCCAAAGCCCTGGATCAGCAAGTCGCCGGCATGTGTCTCACACAACCAGATGCGGCACTCTCGCTTACGGTGACAACCTCCGAACTCCTGCATGCCGATAGGCAAATCTGGAGCACGCTTATCGACCTGATGAATCGCACATGGTCAATGGATGACGCCTTCCATGAACTTACGCATGGTCGCATGGAGATCCCGTCGTTGCTGATGCTGCGCCCCAAGCCGGCTAAGCAGCCTCACACAGCACAGCCTGCAAAGAGGCCCCATCCCGAACCACGCCTCCCCAAAAGGCAGGCGCCTAGACCGCATAAGGCAGAGCCCGCAAAAAAGAAGGGCAAGGGAAAGGGAAAACGGAAAACCAATTTGCCGCAGATTCCAAAACGACACATGTCACACCGAAAATTGCGGGATGATCCGGCCACTCCCTCGGACAGGGCACCACCGGCCGCACCAGCTGCATCCAGCCTAGCACATCCCCCTGACAAGCAAGCATGCCAACAGACCAGAGGAGCGTCTTCGCAGGCGTGCACGCGCCCATATCAGCCGCAGCAGATAGGGCCGGCATTGAGCCCTTCGATCTGGACGCAAACGCTGAGCACGACATCTTAAACGATGCGTGGTTCGAACTCTTGCTTCGCATATGTTGGTCTGGCATCGTGAGCTTACCCACCTTAGCACCGCCATGTAAACAATACAGTCGCCTCAAGCTGAGGCCTGGTGGCCCCAAAGCCCTACGCACACCCGCATGCATGCAAGCAGTGCCAAACTTGTCGCCTAGCGAACAAGCACTAGTTACAGAACGCGGCGAGATCCATAGGCGCAGCCGAGAACTGTTCAAAGCAGTAACCGCGCAGTGCGGCGTGGCGAGGAGCCACCCTCCAGCATGGCATGGCTGGAGCCAGACAATTTCCAGTGTCTGCATATTTTTTTTTCGCGCGCCTTTTTCCAAGCATCGCAAGTGAAACGCCGGCTGGAACAGACCAGCACCCGCGCCGAGTGCGAGGCAAGCAGCTCAGCCGCGCAAGGGAAGGCGGCTCGCGCCCGCATCCGCGGCGAGCCTGAGCACGTGCTCCAGCGGCGGCTCGGGCAGGCCGGGGCCCTGAGGCGCTGCCGGCCATGCGCGGCCCGTGGACCCAACGGCCTGCTGCACCGCAACGGAAAGCTGCGCCCACCAGCGCCGCTGCCACCCTTGGGCTGCTGGCCGGCGCCTGAGCGAGCAACTCAGGGTACGTCGCCCGTTTCCGGCTTTCAATGGGCACCTGGCTTGGGTTGACACCTGCCAGCATGACTTGTTGCTGGCAAAATCGTGGCGCTCCGCATGCCACCATCCCACCTACCCGCCCGGTGCTCTCATGCCACCAGGCACCCGAGCATTGCAGGCATCCGAAATAGCTCAGGTCAATACCTGAGTACTCTGACAGCAGAGTACTGGACCGCAGAGTACTGGCCGCAGCCTTGATCACACAGTGCTCGTTTAAAGTAAGGTTAAGGCAGGGACCAGAAGTGCGAGAGCTGCAAAAACCCTCGCTGCTGACTTTGCATCGCATTCGTGTGTGCGTGCTTCCACCGCTTCTTGGTACTGGCAAGACGAAAGCCGCAGCTGCCATGGGATCCTTTTGAAACGCTTAGCTTTGGTCATTTCATATACCATGCTAAGCAGTCGGATGCTCGGCATGCTGTCTGGACCCAACAGCTCCCCCGGATAGTTCTTCTGCAATTTGTCCACCAGGTCTTGAACCAGGTCCGGCGTGAGCTTGGGCGGCAAGTGTTCTGCCCAAGCGATGGCCGGCGATGCACGCGCTTCGGCAGGGGCCGGCCAGGGTTGTCCTACACTGTGGGAAGGCGTGCTGGACCATACGTCTTGCGAAGAAATGGATTTTGCCATGTCCAGTGCTTTCCGGATTCGGGCCGCTGGTAGTGCTCATTAAGGATGTCAGGGACTTTTGCGTTGGACGGCTCGCCTGTGTCTGCCATGATTGGGGGCTTGCTGGGCAACCTGTACCAAGCACAAAAAAGGGACTATCGGTGGACATGATCATGAACGAACAGCGGGTGAGAAGCATGTGCAAATTCACAAACTGAGGGTCCGGCCGCTAGTAGGTTCTTTGCCGGGCGATGCCCGCGTCGTGATGTGTGCGTGCTGGCCTCCAGGCAGGTTCGGCAACAAATCACAGGACGATGAGGCGCGGGCTGTGCGAACCCTGTGTTACTAAGACCAGCCGCAGGAGTTAAAGACAAGATACAGAGGTTACACAAATTTAACGGAACTTGCATCTACTTATAACTAACTTCGCAACAGATACAAACAGTTATCCGCAGGTAGTAAGTTCGCAAAAAAAGATACAAAAAGTTAGAAAAACTTGGAAAAAGTTATAAAAACTTACAAAAAGTTACAACAAGTTAGAAAAAGTTAGAAAAGAGCAAAAATCACACGTTGTGGTCAGCACATAATTGCAGAAAACAAGCAGTGCCTAGATACGAAAGCGGACGAAAAAGAGTCAAATCTTTCAAGGATCTTGTCAATGAACGCTATCAAAACTCTCTAGCCGCTCAAGACTCTCCACGCTGTCGAAACTCTCCGAAACTCGCCAGCCGCACAATTTTTTCAAGACAGCCATCGTCGAGTCCGTCAAACCAACACGAGCAAGTTGCCATCCACCTCTCTCCAATAGGCAGGGCAAAGCCATTTACAGGAGATCAGCTGACGCCACGCCGTACAGCTTGTGGGCTCAAAAGAAAGCACG